GCTTCAAGAGTTCAAGAGCCAACAAAAAACTTGTTGTTGAACTTGTGCTCTTCCTCTCAGTATCTCACATATTTCAAAAGCTCTGTTTGTACTCACAATTTTAAAATCAAAGATCTTGTTTCGCTCTTGTTCATATTTATGTACAACTATGTATTAAATATTTGCATTTTAATTTCCAATGGAGCATGGCAAAGTGCTCTCTACTTATCAAGTTCGTTATGCTTACAAACATTTAATATTAGGGGTATTCACTAATCACCGATTAAAACGGCACCAGGCTAAGCGAGCTTTGCTCCTTTGCTCGGAGTGCATAAAATGTTCAAAAGTTTTCAACGCTTTGTTATTAAATAATGGTCAATTGGATAGCTTTACTTTATAAATATTTTGTATGTAAAATTGTAAGTGTAATCCAATACCTCTTTCCATAAAAAGTATGCCGATACAAAAGAACCCTCAACGAAAATATTTCTGGATCAAAGTTCTCAAAAAACCCTTTCGTTTAATATACACATTCGTTGCTTTAGTTAACGTTTATATAATCGTAAATAAGTGGCGCTAATATCCTTGGGGATACAACTTATATCGCAAAGCATTGTTTAGGAGCTTTCTTTTAGGACCCATTCATAGTAAATATTGTATCTTAATCTGCTGAAGAAAAAATTAAGACGACGGAAAATGGGTGGCAACGCCAAAATTTAAATGATTCCGAATAGGTGGCAACTTCATACGAATAATCTCGGAGATACATATGTATGAGCAATTTAGTTAACCTTAAATGCAAAACATTATCTGAATACAAAGTTTCATCAAAACTTTTAAAGCCGCCCGGCAGTAAAACAAATCAAACCAGTCAGTAAAAATACCAGCTCTTTAACTAGTAAAAGCGATGGCCTACCAGTTCTTCAATTTCGAACAAATTAAGCGTTCAGCGACATCTGCCTTTGAACTGCCAAAGCGAAAAAAAAACGGAATTAATTCCCTTTCGTACAAATGTCGGATGTGGCGTCGAGTAAAGACTACCTGTTCTGGTTCTGAGCTCGCAGATCCGAGTCCCCTTAGAGGTGGCTAAGATTTTTCAAATTAATTCAAAGTAAGTTAATATAATTATTACGATTTAAATATAAATTACAAATTTGAAAATCTAGTTTTATTTGAGAAAAAAACATATCGCTACCTAAAGGTGAAAGAAAAGGTGACAAGTAAAATTTTTTCAAAATTCAGCTTTTATTGCAGAATGACAGATAATGCGAAACTACATCGATTTTTCGTCTCTATTCTCTATCGCTATTCGCTTTGCTTCTCTATCTATTTCCGTGAAGGCAGAACATACCTAGCCCTTGTTTTTACCAATAATGTCGATGTCATCGGCATAGGCCAGCAATTGTATGCTCTTGTAAAGTATTGTGCATGAGCGGTTCAGTTCGGTGACTCTTATGATCTTTTCCAACATCAGATTAAAGAAACCAGATGAAAGGGAGTCACCTTACAGGTCTTTCCCAATTCCAACGGAGCTGGTGGTACTGCTCAACGAAATTTTACACGGCCGTATTAAGTTCGCGGGGATACCCAATTCAGACGACGCGACATAATGGCAACTTCTTTTCGTGATGTCGAAAGCGGCTTTGAAATCAAGAAATAGATGGTGTGTGTGGATTCTATTCTCACGAGTGTTGTATGCATCTTATCAGCTTCTCGCCATTATACTTGAATAGCTCAGCTAGCAGGCTGTCAGCCCCAGCAGCTTTGTTGTTTTTCAGCCGCGTAATTGACATTCGTGACTCATCATAGTCAAGTGGCCTGGGGCTCGGGTTCGTCTTCTCTTCAACTTTCCGTGCTGCTACCATTCAGTAGGGTAGAAAAGTGTTTCCTCCACAATGTAAGCACGTTCTGGACATCTGTCATTAGGTCGCCATGGTGGTTCTTACAAGATTTCGCCTGGTTTTGAAATCTTTCGTAAGTCGCCTAACTCTCTGATACAATTTTTGGGCCGCTTTTCCTGTCGGCGATCATTTCAAGCACTCCGCACTCACGTTTTTCGGCCTCTCTCTTCTTATTGCGGCAAATACGTATCGCTTCCCTCTTCAGTTCCCTATAGCGGTCCCAACATGGCTCGCGTTCGCGTTCGCGTTCGCCCGATCGCAGCGTGGCTTTGTAGGCGGCATATTTTTTTCTGCAGCTCCTTGACACTCCTCATCGTACCAGTTGTACTTTTGAGCTCGCTGTAATCTGACGTACGGCGGTACGTAATGAGCGAAAAATTTGGTTCCTCTGCTCGCCTATGCCTGTGTCTTCTTGTGATTTCAACTTTTCGATGTGAAGCTTTCCTCTTTAAGTCTTGGGCGCACATTTTTTGCTGCGCCGAGGTGGGTGCATATCTTGGCTGCAACAAGATAGTGGGAACACTAGTCAATGTTTGGCCCTCGGAGTGGAGGAGGCAGAGACAAGGTCATTCAAGAAGAAGAAGTGAGGTCTGGTCAAAGGTTTTGCACTTTCAATCTCGGCCAGCACTGAAATTGGAGGATTTTATCAAGCCTTTAACGCCAAACGAGGTTTTGTGGGGATATACGAGGGCACAGTAGACCAGAGATCGTGCGGAGCCTCCTCAATTTGATCTATCCAAAATTTGTATCTATGCTTGTAGGGTTATAAGCGTTCATCTTTCGTTAATTTCAAAATTTAAATTTTCGATCAAATTTGCCGAATACCTCGAGGTGCGTACTTATACTCGGTATGACCCAGATTTGATTCTTAGTCCGCGCACCATTTAAAAAAAATATTTTTTCTAAAGCTGCGGCTCGCGCGCAAACAATGACAAAACCAGAGATGGTAAAACAATTTAGTATATATAATATATTCAATTTTTTTTTGAATTAATCATATTATTAAAATTTCTAAGTCCTTAAAAAAATCCTGACGTTAGAGAGATAAATTAAACACGCAGTTTTACTATATTTTGGCTATAGTTTCGCGAATATATTGATTTTTTTTTGTGTGTAAAATTTACTGTCATACGGTGTAATCTACAATGGTTTTTAATGAGTTTAAAAAATAAAAATTATAATTTTTCAGTTTTATTTTTTCGCTTATAAGAAATAATTATTATCTACATGATTTTTATTTTTTATTTTTTTTTCGATTAAAAATAAAGATTATTCTAAAAACTTAAACACTATACTAGCGTGAGTTCCGATATCTGTATCCTTTTCAGAGTTAGCGACACACTAATAAACGTTTTCACATTGCTTCCATAAGAAGCACAAAGGAAACAACGCCCATTCATAACTTCTGCCTTGTATCAATAAGCAACGATGAGTAATGTTTCTCATTACTTCCAAATGGAGACTTGGAAATTGACTGAAATTTTAGAACCGTAAAAAATATTTGCTGTAAAGACGAAAGATACTCTATTTTGCAAATGTTCACCTTAATTGAATTTGATTTTTTAAATAGGCTTCAAAACTGTTTTCGTAGTATAGCTTTCTTAAACAGATATCTTTTGGCGTCCATATTTGAATTTTAAACAGATGACCACTTTAAAAAATATTTTCGAATTGAAGCTTCCTTAAACCTCTTTCGTTTGGCATTAATGTTGCAATATTTTATTTAACTTATTGCTTAAATTTAATTTGGCCTTTAAACAGGTGGCAACTTTCTTTAAAAATTTCTTCTAAACAAAGCTTTCTTATATCTCTTTCGATTGATATTCATATTGTATTATTTTTTTCAACCAATTAATTAAATTGAACTTGAATTTTAAAAGGGTGGCAATCCTTTTCAAAAATAGTTTAGAAATAAAGCTTCTTGAATAGTACTACCTTTGGTGACCATATTAAAATATGTATTTTATTTAACTTGTTAATTTAATTACCCCAAACAAACAGTAATCAATGAATCTAAAATGGGGTAAAAGGTTAGTTTTAGTTGTTGTTGTATTCATAATAAGATTTAGTTTACACTAAATAAAATAAATCCAAGTATGATTCATAGCCATTTGTACGAGAGCTATTTAACTGAAAAACAAGGCATATGAAATAAGTAATAGCATTATAAAAAAAAAACACATTTACGTGTATTTTGTTGTTGCTTCTGGACTCTTAAGTGTCGAAAAAATATTTAGTTTTTTTTTTTTGTATTCGAGCGCACTTGGGCACAATTAAAAGACATTGAAAAAACAGCAATACATATTAGCCATAATCATACAAAATCATAAGGGACCCCCCCCCCGATCGGGACAAAACAAGGACAAACATGCCGTCCTTAAAATGGGATAAAACAAGGGCTGAAAGCTTTAGTAGTTTAGGTCCAAAGTACCTCATCATGACTAGAACAAATAGCCCGGACACTCTTTTGAACGTATCGCCTTTTCTCATAAAAAAAAGCCATTGGGCGCGTTCATAAGTCGTAGCTGTTGGGTAACCGTTGGCTGTTTGTCTTAGAAACGCACAGTTGAGTAGTTACGCTCAGCCCAACAGTTGGCAACTTTCCGCCATTTTTTCCAGCGGAAAATTTTTACGCTACCTAAACTCAACGTTTTGGGCTTAGCCTAAACAGCTGATCGAAAAGACTTACGCCGCTTATATTAAATTTAACGCCGCTTTGTTAGGTGGCAGTTGCAAACAAATTTATTATATTTTATATTACTGATGTGATAAAGTAACTAAAATATTTTAAAATAATACTACGTTTCTAAATATATGTTTTTAAGATGTTTGCTATATAATTTTACACTGTTTAATTCGTTGTAACATTGAACGATTTTTTCAACACGGCGGCCGCTCAGCGTTGAATTCTAATGGTGCCCACACTCACCAACGTGTACGTACACCGTGTCCGTTTGACGTAGCAACATATAAAATTTACTGTTGATAGAGAGAGAGAGAAGCACGCGTAACCGTCGCACGTACACGGTGGTGAGTTTTCATTTACATGGCGCTCTCA